AAATATTTTGATTGGATCTTATTTTGGGAAAAGCTTGTACATTTTCATGTTTTGTGAGCGTGGATTTTAAATTAGAAAATATAAATCCTTGATGTTATCCTTTGTTGTTTAATTTTAACTTTACAAAAAAATTTTATTCGAATTTGACTTGGAAATATAAATGTACGTCAAATTATAACTGCAATGACAGCATCACTTGAAATACATCAACTGTAAAGAATTAGAAACAATAACAAAGTGGAAACAATGTATCCATCATTTACAAAACAGCACCAAAATTATTGCATGAGTACATATTTGTGTGTATAAATAGGAAGCAAAGATATTTTCGTATCGTTTTAGGACGAATCGATTGTAATAAATAGTTTTTTGTTTTTACGCGCGATCATAGTGTCAACTATATCGTTCTATTTTTATTTTTGATTTATTTTGAGCGGATCTCCTAAAAGTTCATTACTTCAATCCACCGCGCACCGTCCACAAACAAATACGTTCTCGAATGACTCACTTAGCTTTTACCAGCTCTATTAATCAATACGAACGAAAAAATTTGGCACAAAATTATAAATATTGATGCACTTATATTCCTGCCAAAATTCTGGAGACCGTTTGGCACACAAAAGTCATACATTCGTTACAATGTGTCGCTATTGTACCATATACAATTTTTATAAAACAATTTTACTAAAATATAAGTCCTACCTACTATTTTACGTCTTTAGCGGATAGGAGACGAAAAATTAGAAGATGTGGCTGATTTTCGATATTAAGGAAGTAAGATAAGTCAGGATGGAAGGAGTAGCAGGGATATAAAGCACCGGATAGCGCAAGGTCGAGTCATCTTCAATAAAAAGAAGTCACTTCTATGCTCGCGAACGGTTAATTTAGAAATTCGAAAAAGGTTGTTAAAGGTGTATGTGTGGAGCACGGCATTGTACGGGTGCGAAACACGGACGGTGGGCGCGGGGAAAAAGGAAAGTTAGAAGCGTTCGAAATGTGGTGTTATAGGTGGATGATGAGGATATCGTGGGTAGAGAAGGTTAGAAATGAAGAGGTAGTGGAATGAGTAGGAGAACAGAGGACTTTATGCAAGACAATAAGAAATAGACGAGATAGGTTGGTAGGGCATCTCAGGCATGAACGTCTAGCCAGAAACATATTAGACGCAGAAACAGGAATTATGAGGAGTAGAGGTAGACGTAGATTAGATTACTCTTCGCAAATATCAGAGAAAGAGTTGGGTTGCGTGTCCAACCAGTCGTAAGACTGACGACCTTATAATGATGAGGATGTTAAAAATAATAGGTATCTACCTAGATATTAAGTTTCAGCTTATCAAGCTTATATAAAGGGTATCTACAAAAGGACAAATTCTACAATTTAATGTCTATACTGGAAGCTTTTATAGCTGTTGTTGAAACTTTTATTGGAAAACTCCAAATAATAATGATCAGTTCTTAAATTGTAACCGTCATTTGTGATATTTGAAAAGTTCAAAGAATATTTAATACTATGTTCTTATAATTTGTATTATGTTAATCTAAATAATGATATATTTCTAAACAATGGATTCTTAACATTTGTTTTTGGTTTCTTGTCTATTATAAATTATATACATTAGATGTTTTTTGTGTCTATTTTCTATATTCCTTCCTGTTTATCCTATATCACAGTTTTAACAAGGTAATTTGTAAATACCGATCTCATTTAATAAATCAGTGTTCTTTTTGCTGTTTACTAGATAATTGTAGGATTTTATATATCAATTTCATTTAAATTTTGTACCCGTAATAAAAACTTTGGATGAATTGAAATATATATACGAAGAGATTTTAATGAAGATATCAAAATTGCATTTTACTTGATTAAAATACGTGCCATAATAATCCGTGCACTGATTTTATCGATATTATTAAGTAGGTGTATATTAGAACTTAATTAATTTTGATAACAAGACTTAAGCATGGTGTTTGATAAGGTGAAATTACGGTATTTAATCTCTTAGCAATTAATTGTAATTTTGATCAATACTTACACCTTTTTGGTTAACTAACGGTATTTTATCCAATGTTTTTAGAAAATAATTCTTCACGATAATAAATCTTGTTTATTTTTTGTTACCCAAATATTTTTAGTCAACCTGAACAAATAAAAGTTTATGGCTTAATATTTGTAGACTTTTAGAAAACATAATTTTTCTTTTTGAAAATTTATACTTTTCTTAAATAATCCAAAAATTAGGAAATATACTTCAACATTATTACTCATTTTGGAATGTTGCCATTTGAAGAAATTTACCAGGAACGAGTTCTAGTTAAACCCCTTTATATAGAAAATGCAGGTACCAATATGGATTAAGGGAACCATTTAAATTTTGCATATTTTCAGTGTGGAATCTAAAGTATACTAATAATAACACTTTTTTTCTATTAAAATTCTTGCCTATAAAAAATTTCCGAAATAAATTCATAATTATTTCAACACGCAAACGGTTACGATAAGTAAAATTTGAACATTTAAAAAATTCCCCTTCAATGCCAAAATTGTTAGTAATGACATGTTCTAGTTAAAAATAAAACTAAAAATCTGTACGTGCTTTAAATTCATTCAGTAAATCTTGTGGGATTAAGAAATTTTCCGTTTGCATGACTATTGACCGCTGTGAACGTAAAACCTGACGTCGTTCTAAAATATGAAATATAATAATATTTAAAGAAATTTAATGTATTAGGTCGATGTAGCATTAAAAAGTTTAAAAAACAATAAGGCGCCAGGTGTAGATGGAATACAGGGGGAAATTCTAAAACATGCAGGACAAGAGGTTAGAGATCGTATGTTTAAGTTAGTTAGTCA